ACCAGTACTAATCAGCTGTAAAATTCTTGAGTCTTGTTCTTGAAAACTTGAAGGGTACTCCGACCCTAGGCGGCCAGTCCAACCTACTGGCAAAGGCCTTTAGGGTATACGACCCTCGGCGCGGAGTCCGCCCCACTCCGGAGAGGTGGCCGTTTCAGCAGTCTAAACAAACACAGGCCCTGCGTTTGCTGGCTATAACTTCGTTCGGGATATCCACCGAGTTTATCAGTTGATAAACCAAGGCCGGTCCTTACCCTATAGAAGTGTTCACCTTGACGTTCCAAGCAGCCACAGACAACCAACAGTAATGTCAATCCAATCCCCTTACCGAGCAACCGACGTAGTGTTCCTGTTAGTCTTGATAAATTGACGACCGATCTCCAGGATTGGGCTACTTTTGCTTAAGCCACCAACGTCCCCACGCAATGCAGCGATTAGTCGGATCTCAGATTCGAGTGCAGCCTACTCCGAAGAGGACACTATACTGGGCGCGGGGTTTTAACCGTTCGGTCACTATTCCCTGGAACGTTGTTGTCTAGCACAGTCAATGCGTGAACAAAGATTGCTATTCAAGAGTATCCTGCATAACAGTACCACTGGGTGCCCAGGGCATTAACTGTTCCAGCGCCAGGTGCCAATACACCAGCCACGCGAGACTTGTTAGGTCCCTGCTCGCTTTTTGCGAGATCACGCAAGACGAAGATTTCGGCGAGCCGTAGCACCAGATCCAATGAGAACTATCAATAAACTTGAACAGGAATCACGACGAGTTTTAGAAGTGTTTGAGTGACCAACAGCCTTTGGGCGGGTGTGTGCTGTGACGAGTGTCACGGCAACTGCAGTTCGGGAATAAGCAGTGAGGTAGAGTTGTGCTGCGTCGAGAGGCGGAGCGGTATCGAGCCCGAAAGGCAGGACGGTGCTGGGCTGGAAATGCGGACCGGAGCAGATCACAGAAGACGAGGCAGCCCCGAGCGGGAGGAGGGGCGGTGCCGAGCGACAGGAGAAGCGATGCCGAGCGACAGGAGGAGCGGTGCCGAGCGAAAGAAGCGGCGGCGGTTCCGGGGGAGAGAGAGGCGGGGCGATGCCGAGCGAGAGAGGCGGAGTGGTGCCGAGCGAGGAAGGCGGAGCGGTGTAGGGCGGGAGGTTGGTAGTAAACACAGTACTTACTAATTAGTGTCGTACACTGTGAGACTCTGTTCACTACAGGCCTTCGACCGGCCTGTTTCTTCCTTTGGCGCTGTCCGTCGGCGGAGAGTGCGCAAAAAGAGAAGAGGTTTCTGCAAAAAGAGTCGTCGGTGAGCGAGCGGCGGTCGCAAGCCAGGGACGAACTCACTTTATTAGGAGCTGGACAAGTGGGCTCCGTGCGCGCTTCGCGCGCCAAGCCAAGTCCCTTCCTCCTCCGCTCCTCGTTCTGCACACTCTGTCGTTCCCCGCCCCGCTGCTCCCCCTCCCTCTGCGCTAACTCTCCCGTCTTCTCTCCGGTCTTTGTCGCCCCTTGCCCCTTCGTCCAGCCACACGTTTCTCGCCCCTGCGCGTCGCGCCCGGTCCGCGCCGCCGCCCTCTGCGCCGCCGCCCGCCTGTGTCGCCTTCCCCCCCGGCCGCGGTTCGGTCCCTGCAGCCCGCAAACATGGTCAGCGCCGCTGCCCTCCACGCCGCCGCTCGCTTCCGCCTAACACTGCTACCTGGCGACGGCTCCCGGCACCCACCCGCCTGCGCGCGCCCTCCTGCACCGCCGGCTGCGACACCTGCCCGGCTCGCAGCGACCACTTTCCCCGTTCTTCGCACCTCCGTGATGCGTGCAGCCCGCGCCGCCGCCCTCCGCGCCACCGCTCCCACCACTACCTCGGCCGCCCCTTCCCAAGCGCACCCGTCCACCACGTCCCCGCGCCGCAGGCACACCCCGCCCACCAGCCCGCAGAACGTCTCTGCCACGCCCGCGTCCGTCCGCCCCGCCACTGCCACCCACCGCGCACGTCGCCCGCCACATCTCGCCGCGCACGGCGCTCTTCGCCGCGTGCTGCCCGCTCATGTTGCGCAGAAGCTCCACGCAGCTCGCTACCACGCGCGCTTTGCCCGCCCGCCGGTCCAGCAGAGTCTCCGCCGCCGCTTGGAACCGCTTTGCGTGGAGCTGCATGCACACTGCGTCCGCGATCTCGCGCGCACGCCCGTCCCACCCGCCGCACTCGCCCACCACGGTGTCAACGCCTGCCTCCGCTGCTACCCGGCACACCACGTCCGTCACCGTCTCTGAGCAACACAGTTAGCGCCCGCTCGCCGTCGCGCCTCCCCCGCCCCCCAACACGCGCGCCCGGTTGAAGCCCGCTCGCCGTCCCGCCTCCCCCGCCCCCCGGCACGCGCGCCTGGTTGAAGACCCTTGTAGTACTCCACGCCGTCCACCTCTGGCCCGGTCCGCTCCCGCGCCCTTCGCTCCCCCACGCGCACGCGCGAGTGTGGTGATCCATGCCGCCCTGCCTCGGCGCCCCCCACCTACCCTCCCCCACCGTCCCCATCGCTGCCCCAGCCCACCTCTCCTCCACGTCATCGCCGCACACCCAAAACCGCCCTCCGCCCACCATCATCTTGCAGCCCACCGTCCCTATCGCCGCCCGTCGCCGCCCAGGCCCGCACTTCCTCGTCGCCGCGCATCCACATCCGCCCCCCAAAGTCAGAGCACCACGCGCTGCGCAACTCCGCCTTGAAGAATTCCGGCCCCCCCACGCACAGCCCCCCGCGCACCACCGCCCCGCTCACGTCGCCACGAGCCTCCGGTATTTCGGGCAGCCCCGTGTCTCACGCGTCCGCCCCCCTGTCGTACGCGTCCATCTACCACACCGCCGTCACGTGCTCGCAGTGCCCGCCCCAGTTCCGCCCACAATGTAGATCCGCGTGGCGCGGTTTAAACGGATCCGGGCTAGAATTTGTAGTGTACTGTAGCGCGGCCGCGCTCGGCAGTCCGCACAGTTATTTTAATTTTAAAATTTGACTTGTCGCCACTTGTCAGCCTGTACTGTAGTGGGGCCCCGCCCCGCAGTCCGCACAGTAATTTTAATTTAAAATGTTACACTTGTCGCCGCTTGTAGCGCGGCCGCGCTCGGCAGTCCGCACAGTTATTTTAATTTTAAAATTTAACTTGTCGCCACTTGTCAGCCTGTACTGTAGTGGGGCCCCGCCCCGCAGTCCGCACAGTAATTTTAATTTAAAATGTTACACTTGTCGCCACTTGTCACCGCCACGTGTCCCCGTGGCGGCCTGGCCTGCGGCCAGGCCCCGCCCGTGGCTGCCACTTGTCACGGTAGCGCCAATGGCAACGCGGGAGCGCAAGGACATACAGACACACACACAGACAACGATTTTAGTAGTTGTAGAAAGTAGTAGAAGTTGATTGAATCGCCTGAAAATAAACTCAAATAAAAGACTAAACGGAACCAAGCGAGCACGATATTCTAGCCATCTATTGTCAAGAATATGAGAGTGCATTCCTACCCCGTCACCATTACAGCCATCACTCATGCTTTGTATCTTCACTACGGACTCAAGTCTAATCAAGCATTTCTGTTATTAGTGGCTCTCGAGCCGTCGCATTGACTTCCTCCTTTCTCGCAGCTATAAATGCCAGCCTACACTTTTTCAGATGTCCAATTGCATCATCGGCCCTGCCTTTTTCCGCCATAGTCTATTACCTCGAATAGCAACTGCATAATAACTTTCCGTGGCGGCAGTGGCTCTCGGGCAGTACGTCCATCCAACTGCCTCTCTGGAGACCCTTCATTTTTGGCTCAAAATGCGTGCCACCCGCAGAAGGGTAGCACTATATCGGAGCTGGCACTAACAAAGATGGCACTATATCGCGACCCCCCCTGTACCCGACTATATCTACCGTAGTACAGTATTATAGTGCACCGCGTACAGTACATACCCAAGGGTAGAGTGCAGCACTGGCGGATAGGCGAAGCAAGCAGCACCCTTTCCAAAATGCCAAAAAGGCGCCTCGTATCGAAGGAGGCCTCTTGCTCCTTTTTTCTCATTTCTATGTTCTTCTACGGCATTTAAAAGATCAAAGCCTGCCGAGTACTGGTACCGTTCTAGTTGACATTATCTGAAGCATTAAAAGTGCTTTCTTCGGATTGTGAGGGTGCAGATTTGCATCAGTTTGAGTTCAGTCGTGGAGTTACAGATAGAGTTGGGGAGGGTGCGTATCTTTTAGGTCTGTCGAGGACGTGATATCTTGTACGGAAGGTGACTGTCTTTAGATGAGCCTTTCTGCGGGACTCGAACCCGTGCGCCACAGTATAGTATTGTGCGCGAGAAGGAACCATCAAGCAGGCGTCTATTCTGCTCCGGGTTGACCGGTGGGGTGTTGAAAACCTTTGAGAAAGCTCGAAAAACGAGGCAGTGAGAAGACAGGTAGCACGTCACGACAATGAGGTGATTTTCATGTGATTTTCATGTGATGTCAACATATTAAGCAGGGATGCGCTCGACCGAAGAATCGCATATGGGTGGTACACCAGGAGCAGTAAAATTACACGTTTGGGACATCATGGGATACAGGGTACAAGATTGCGGTAGATTCGAGAAGCTCTGTGCTGCAAACCGTTGCCGGGGCGAGAATTTTGCAAGATTTCACCGTGACTGCACCGTTTGGTTGGCCTGTGTGACATGCCTCAATCTCGCATTTCCGCTCTCCGGCCATCAAGCATTCGTGCTGGTGCCAGCATAGTGCCAGCACTAACCGTTCGGATATGCTTGAACGCAGGAAGCCTTTTCCCCCGGCCGTGTTTGCTTTGGTTCCGCCCCATACTTCTTCAACCTCATACTATCAACCCCATACGCCGCTAATCCTTCGGTGACATCACCAAAGAAAACCGCAATACCTTCGTTGAGCCATTGTATAAGCGTATCGGCAATGCGTTTGTTTCGACCTCTGTCTTTCATCGTCGAATTCGATTGCGCATACAACGCCTTCAAGTTCTCGGCCTGTATCCCACAGAGAACGCAACATGGCCAATCCACTCGATGACCGTCTCCTCACCTTAACAGCCATCATCACCGTGGTCTTCCAGTTTTCATTCTTTCTTATCACCTATTTCCTTCGCTTCGACAAGGTCACCGACTTTGCGGGTACCACAAACTTTCTCATCCTGGCTGTCGTCACGCTGACAGTCGGCGGTGCCTACCAGACCCGTCAGATCGTCATCAGTACTTGCGTCTTCATCTGGGGGACCCGTCTCTGCGCCTTTCTTCTCTACCGCATCATTCTCTGGGGCGAGGATCGCCGTTTTGATGACAAACGAGAAAACTTAGGCCAGCTCGCCATCTTTTGGTCTCTACAGGCTGTCTGGGCCTGGACCGTCTCCCTACCGGTCACAATTGTCAACTCCAAGCCTGTCACCGACTCGCTAACGGCGTTGGATTATGTTGGATGGATCATTTTCGCATGCGGCGCACTTTTAGAGGCTGTCGCTGATCAGCAAAAGCTACGGTACAAGCAGTCGGAGGCGTCGAAAGACCGCTGGACAGATGTCGGAGTCTGGGCCTGGTCGAGGCATCCCAACTTCTTCGGGGAAATGTTAGTGTGGTGGGGCTTGTACATGTCAGCGTTGAACGATCTCAGGGGTGCGGAGCACGCGGCGATAGCTGGGCCGATTTTCATCACGCTGCTGCTCATGTTCGTGTCTGGGATTCCGATCTTAGAAAAGTCGGCCGATGGAAAGCATGGGAACAAGGAGGGGTATGTCATTTATAAAAAACGAACGAGTGTACTCATTCCGTGTCCTCCGGTGCTGTATGTCAAGCTACCGGAAATCCTCAAGGCGACATTGTTGTTGGACTTCAAGTTGTACAACCCAGGGGGAAAGTCGGAAAACGACGAGATGGTGACGGACCCAAAAGCGAATGAGTCGACATCGCTGGTCGACTTCGAGAAGAGAGCTTCGGGAGAGAGGAGCGCTGCAGCACAAATTATTAATGTTTAGACGGGTTCGGGAGCAAACGACAAGGAGGGGGGGAAGGTGGGAGTAAGGTACGTGAGCTGTGGTTTCCGGGCGCATGTGCCGTGAACAGGCGGTTGCGGGTGCAACAAGCAGTTTGAAAAGCGGTGCACGGTATGGTAAGATGTTGTACAATAGCCCATGCACGTTCTGTACTAATGTTCTTGATTAACAAAAACAGATATTGGAGTACTAACCTGCAAGGGCCTGTGACGCGGGTTGAGTCGCGAGCGAGTCGCAAGACGGCGGGAGATGCTCAGCTGCCTGCAGCTCAAGCTGCGCAGGTTGCTGATAGTGGAAGTGGCAATCTGGGGATAGGGCGGCAGTGTGCAAGCTTGCTTGATGATAAAGCCAAAGATGCGATATGGTGCCGCCGCAGCGCTTTTTACGACATCCAGAGAAGGCTTGCATGTCAAGGCACCAAGCCCCATCTTATTGAATTTCCATAATATTTCGCTGCATGCCTGGTGCTGATTTGATCCCTCTCAGATGCCCCCCCCCCCGCTGCCCCTCTTTGATCGCCCTCTACTACCCCTCAGAACCCAACCCCCCCGCCCCCCCCTCCCCCCCCGTCTCCAACGTTTCCTCCGCCAGACCCCTCTCGAACTCCGCCTGATCCATCCTCTTCCCCTCAACTGCTCCCTTCAATTTACCCTTCCAACCCTTTCCAGTCCCGCTTAGACGTTCTCTGCTGGCCGCCCCTCTAGTGCCTCCCTTGCGCATCTTCTTGCAAGTGACCCCTCCCCCCCGGCCCTGTTCTCTCCCATCCCTTACGCTTCCTTATTCAACTCAACATGACCACTACCACTGACTCACCCGGCAACGGCTTCGCCTCGATCCCAAATGATCTCGACGGCATTGAACGCTTGTGCGAGCAGCTCTACACGGCACAAGACTCGACCATTCGCAAACACGCAGAGAGCGTTTTGTTTCCACTCTCAACCAATCCTAGACATCTTTCACAAGGCACCATGATCTTGGAAAATGCAAAGGTTCGTCTCTTGCTTGTTTTGTTCTTCTCCTTCCACAGTTGCATCCGCGGCTCTACTCACTTTCGTCTCTTGTAATTATCTGCAACGTGCTCTAACCCCTGTCGAAATTTCTGGATGACGCATCTACATCACCTTTCGTTTCCATCTGTCCACAGGGACCCTATGCCCAAAAATTCGCGGGTTGGGTATTGACTAAGCTCGTCACAACATATTGGGCCCAGATTGGCGTTGAAGAACGCGTTCAGCTGCGCAACTACGTCCTCAACTACCTTGCCAACCGAGGACCAATGCTTGAGCAGTTTGTCCGAATCGAACTCAACACCCTCCTCAGCCGCATTACCAAGTTTGGATGGTCCGACGGCGAAGCTCATCGCACCATCGTCGACGACGTCAGTCGCTTCTTGGATGCCTCAGAGGAGCATTGTGTTATTGGCCTGCAAGTGCTCTCGCGATTAGTTTCTGAGATGAACACCGTTCCTCCTGGCATCAGAAAAACATTTTCGCACTCCCAGTCCCGCAAGATTGCAATTTCATTTCGCGATCTGCTCTTGTTGAAGATCTTCAAGATTTCTATCGCCACTCTCAACAAATTATCCTTGCCTCCGGCCCATTCGAAGCTCCGTGCGAATGGCGTGGATCTTGCTCTCAGCTGCTTGTCTTTTGATTTTATTGGAAGTAGTATTGACGAGAGCAGCGAAGATATCGGCACCTTGCATCCGCCTATTGCTTGGCATGTTGTCGTCGAGGACCCCACAACAGTCAAACTCTTTCTGGACATTTATCTAGCACTCTGCGTATCCAACACGGTAATATCGAAGAAGTGTCTAGAGTGTCTGGTTCAGTTGGCTAGCATGCGTCGCACACTTTTTGCAACGGACGAGCTGCGCATTCTGAATATTCGCCGCCACATGCGAGGAACCTTGGATATCCTCAGCACGCGCGTTGGTCTAGAAGATCATGATAATTATCATCACTTCTGCCGGTGGCTCGCACGCCTCAAAGTCAACTACCAGCTGGACGAGATTATTAACCTGGATGTTTATCGTCAATGGATTGAACTCGTCTCACAATTCACCCTCCAATCTTTAGCGTCCGATTGGAGCTGGGTGGGAAACAGCCTTTTCTATCTTCTCTCATTGTGGTCTCGACTCATTGCCGCGAAGCCATACCTGAAGAGCGGAAAGGAAGCCTACCTCGACGGATACGTATCTAAGATTGTGGAACAGTATATCACCACCAGGTTAATGGCATTAGAGCAGTTGGATGATGGTGATGAAGAGGATGAAGATATCACAGAGCATCTGGAAGCAATTCCTTCCATTTTCCGGCTACAATACGAGAAATCAGGGGCATTCATCTCGTCGGTCATGGATCCTTTACTTGAAAATTACAAGGCTTTCGCAGCGAGTGGTGGTGTTGGCGCAAATCCCGCCGAAGTCTCAAAATTGGAACGAGAACTCGCCTGGTTAACCCGAGTGATCGCGGCCGTAGTGAGTGGCCGACTAAACGCGTCTAGCTCTGAAGCACAAGAGCTCACCGACGGCGAAGTAAGTTCTCGAGTGTTTCAGTTGATGGTACACACTGTGTCTGCGGACAATGCAGCCCGTATGCGACCTGGTATCACGCCAGATACACTTGCGACGCCAGCAGGCAGAGCGCGAAATACGAAAGGTGCCGTCGCACTAGATGCTGCAATTGTGGATTTCACGCAAGCGTTCCGTAGAGCATATATTGGTGAGGAAGCTGTAGCGACCAGCAAGGTCTATGTGAGAATGGCTGAGAGGTTAGGTATGAACGACCACTTGATTGTTCTTGACGTGGTGGCGGCTAAGATTGCGTGTAATTTGCGCAGCTACGGAGTTGTAGACGGCCAACGGATTATTGGCAAGTCCTTGGGCCTCCTACAAGACCTCGCTGCGGGATACAGTAGTAGTCGCCTCCTTTGTAAGCTCGCAACTATCCGCGAGATGATTACAAGTCATGATGAGGACAACTTTCCTTTTATGAAAGGACCAGACTCTCTCATGGGACGGAATCGCACAACGTTTTACCAAACCATTTTACGGATTCTATTCTCAAGCGGTGGTTCTAGCTTTGATTCAGAGGCGGAATTTAATCGTTTCATGGAGCCACTAAGAACTAAGCTAGACGCTTTGGCTGCGTTACCCAGCAAAGATGCCTTCCGCAATGACCAAACTGTCAAGAAGGCCGTCCTAGGGGTCCTTCGTGACATTCGAGGCGTCATCCAGACAATGTCCAATCGCAAGACGTACGGACTCTTCTTCGAGTGGTTCTATCCGAAATACACACCTGTCATGCTGAAGATCTGCGAAGTGTTTTCGGAGGCCGGTGTCTATGAAGTCACGACAATCTTATTGAAGTTTTACGCAGAGTTCATTTACAACAAGTCGCAGAGGATAATTTTCGACAGCTCCTCACCAAATGGTATTCTACTGTTCCGGGAGACTTCAAATATCCTGGTTACATACGGGACTCATACGTTGCAAAACTGGGAGAGAATTGGTGGAGCAGAAGGAGCAAAAAGCAGATCCATGGATCCTTATCGTGTGATGTATAAGGGCAACTGGGTTTCCATGCTTTTGTTTGCACGCGCACTTGGTGGTAACTACGTCAACTTTGGAGTATTTTCCTTGTATGGCGATCCTGCTCTACAAGACGCAATGGCGATCTGCTTCAAGATTATTTCCGTTATTCCGCTCGACCAACTTATGGCATACCCTAAAGTTGCAAAAGCATATTTCCCGCTCATCGAGCTCTTGTGTTCTAACCATCCTCAGGAAATCGCCAAGTTGGATCACCGCACGTTCGTTCGAATCGTAGAATCCTTGAGGGAGGCATTGCAATCCCATGAAGTCTGGATGAGCTCCCAGGCAGCCTCTGCCATTGACCAGCTCTCCGCCTTTAGATTTAAGCAAGAGCTGAAACGCAGTGATCATGCACGATTGTTGCTTGCCCATGTCGAACAAAGTCCGGACTTGTTTCCATCTTGCCTAGGAATAATCTTTAACATGATTATTCATGTGGACTGCACGAATCAATGGAGTCTTTCACGACCATTGCTTAGTCTCATACTAACAAATGAAGAAGCCTTCATGAGAATGAAGACAACTACAATTCAGTCTCAGCCAGCGGAGAAGCAAGCGAACGTTGGGGCAGCGTACGACAAACTGATGAAGGACGTGCAACGAAATTTGGAAAGCAAGAATCGAGACAGATTTACGCAGCAGGTCACCCAATTCCGGCTAGCTCTGAGAACAGAGGGTGTAACTGATGGGCTGTTGTAAAGTGACGAACGCGATTTTTTGCACAGCTGGTAGCAACATAACAGTAGATAAGAGACTGAAAGCCCCTCATCACTACTTCTGTTGAAATCGCAGTACGTACAGCTGCTCGATCCCTGCCTTCCTTTTCATCACAGTCCTAACCAGGAAGCCTGCTCGGTTGGCTTTCTCAATAACTTCAATGGGCTTATTCGCTTCAAGTAGCACCAAGTACATGACCCCATCTTTGGCTAGGAATCGAATAAACTCATCCAGGAAAATATCGATAACTTGGCGGCCTTCTCTCCCCCCTGCCCACGACGCAGAGATATCGCGGCTCTCCAGAGCACGCTGCAGTTCATTGTCATCCGTCGGTACGTAGGGCGGGTTGAACACAATGATTTCAAATTGTATCCCAGGTTTGAAAGCAGAGAACATGTCGCATAAGACGAAGTCGACACTAGTCCTCCCTTTCAACAAACCGCGTGTCTTTATCACAGCTAGCGGATTCACATCTGTTGATATGCAGACTGCTGTTTCTATAATTTTCGATAGCGCTTCGGATACTTCCCCTGAACCACATCTAAGCAAACATCAAAAAAAATCTGGTTAGGCAAATGGGTACGTCCCCATCCTTCGCACATAAGTTCAGCCTGCGTTGCTTTATCTGAATGTTTGTTATGAGCTTCCCTAGGGGAATAGTTGCTGCAAGTAGTGGAACGAATCCGACGTACCCTACTTCTAAGCCAAGGCCCTTTGAAAATCGATGTCGTAAAAATTCTGCATCCTGCTGCAAGGCATCGATCAACAAATATGTATCTTCCGAAGCCGGATAAACCCCATCAGCACCATCCATTTCAGAGATGCTTTTTAGACCCGACGAAAGATCGGCGAGTCGCAATCAACGCTGATCATGCTGTGGCAACGGTACGGAACAATGCAGGAGAAGAGAGGAAGGTCAGATACTGGCGAATTACACCAATGCGGGAAGTGAGGAAGTGGGCTCGCATCTTCTCAGGAAGTTGTTGCAATGTATCTATCACCACCTTGGGGCTTGCGGTCAAGCAAAGCCCAGTAAGTGTGGCCTATGGCCCAGTTGTATCTTCATCGAGATCCTAATCCCGACTATGCCTCGGACCCCGCCAGGCTGATCAGAGAGAAAAAACATACCTCAAGTGACGTTGAACGCAATGAAAGCGTCCTCAATGCCGGCTTAGAAGGAACACGGGACTCCACGATCAGGTACGACGGCCGCTGCAATGGATAAGCTTATCTGGAGAGCGGAACGTGGCACTGTAGGCAGTGGGATCACACTTCCTTTTCAACAACAGTACCCTTGGTACTGTACTACTAAATCAACTTTTGAAAATAGCACAAGTTCTTATTTTTCTTCAGTAATTCAGTAATTATTTCAATTTTCTTGCTACAGTAGTTTCTTGCAACGGCTCAGTTCACGTGTGCATCAACTTCTCTGCACAAAGGTCTGGGCGAAGAGATTCCCAGCAGGCCGGGCCTCCATCGCCCGCAACATCAAACGACCCTCAAAAATGTCAAAGCAGGACGTAGAACAGCTATGGGAGCTTCAGGGTCGCCAAGCCGAATTGCGCCGTCACGTAATGCAGCTAACATCCCAAATCAACGTCGCAGAGCGAGAACGTAGCATCCTCGACATCACTGTTCGTGAGATGGATGCCATGCCGGAGCAAACGAAGACGTACATGGCTATCGGAAAGATGTTTGCGTTTTCACCGAAAGACCAACTGCGTAGAGAGCTCTTGCAAGCAAAGGAGGAGTCTTTCAAGAAGGATGAGGGCCGAAGCACTCTGCGTGATCAGTTCGTCACAAAGCTCAAGGAAAGCGAAAATCGTATTGATGAGATCGCGAAGCAGATCGAAGACTCTCGCGCAAGAGCAAAAGATTCATCTACTGTCAGAGCTGGATCTTAAAGAGGAAATAGACGGAATACGGCTACTTGGTTTCGTCAGGACGTTGGCCACCTCCTCTTAACTCACTACGATCATTCCACCTCGGCCTGCATTCGTCGGTAATATCAGAGACGGACCAAATTAGTAATCTTGTAGAGGTCTTCTTGCGGTCGCCATGTAGCATAGCTTGGCAGTGTTTCATCTGTGCAAAATGAGGGGTCCAACACAAGGTGTTTGTCGAAGTCAAAAACAACGAAATCGAGAATTTCTTTTCGCCACCAACCGTTCTCCATGTAGCTAACCAGTGCCCTTGTTGAACACAGCGCGTACATCAAAACAGCGCTTCTTCGATAAAGAGGTGAAGCGTGTAGCACCCAAGAGCTTCAGCTCCCGACGGAAACAGTCATCGATTGTTTTCCTCAGTACTGAATCAAAGTTTTATATTCCAGTGAAACTCGGAATTGCTTGAGCAGCTAGCCGTTTCCTCTGCCAGGCGTGTCGCCAACAGGCTTCATCCCTCCGTGTACAACTGCCCTGTGCATCAACTATCGACCGCTGCCAGGCACTTTCAAAGCTGGTATCGCTGGGAATCGCGCTTCTTGTTCGGAAAAGGACATCGTCATTCTCGATGGATTCTCCGGCGTTGCGTTAGAAACGTCAAGCACGTGCTTGATCTCCTCCCATCCTTGCGCGTTTTTTCGAACTACAGGGCGTGACTTTAGCAAAATTTCGGATCGCAGAACTGCCGTTTCGCAAGTTCACAGGGGCTTGCCATTGCGCATCGGAGCGGGTGGCAGTTATTACGCAGGCGAGCAAGAAATTATTCCGTCCAGGAACATAGCCATCGCCGCGCAAAATGTTAACATTCAGATCGTGGTGGCCGTTGTCCGAAAAGTAGTGTTCTACCGGAGCTCGTTGAGATTTCTTCGAGTGCGCTGTCAACTGCATTAGTAGTCCTGCGGCCTGGGGCCGAGAGACAACAACCAAATTCCGCCAGAGCGGGAGCCTTTTCCTCCTAGTCTGGTGCAAGATAAATTGTTGGTTACCACCGACACGATGTGCCACGGGCTTGTCAGCTGATAAGCTGTAGCTCGTGTAGCCGGTGATGTACTTGTAGGTAGACTTTCGGCGGAAGAAGTGAATCAGAATATGCTTGGTATTTATGGCCGTAACAAGATGGTGAGCATGCTCAGAGATGCTGTTGTTGTCGGGGAACATGTTTGAGTTTTGATGTGATGCATTCAATATGTACAGTACCTGCCGAGTACTCGGCAGATGTGCACACGTCGACCTGGATAAGAGTTAGAACGAATTCGTCACAAGGCAGCTTGTGAATTAGTTGCCTTCGGTAAAGGGGAAGAAAGAGGCGAGTCATTGCTTGATATTGAACGTGCTTCCGTCGCTAACTCGTCAAATGAGCTGTAAGACTGTGTTGGTGAGGCAACCGCGATATTCAGGTAACTGGTCGCAATAATAGCGTTCCTCGCTCCATAGCAGAAGTAGGTTGTCGCTGATAACGCCAACCATGTACACAATGCCGTCAAGGCCTTGTTCGAAAGCTGAAAAAGAAGGAAACACGTCGTGAACGACCCTAACATCGGAATTATCGGTACAAGCGGACACATGAAGCTCGGTGCGGCGCGCTCATATTGCGACCCGCCCTCAAAGTCGGAAGTAAGTAACATTATTGAAATGGAAAGCATGACGGGAATGGATATCAACAAGCCTAGCCATCGCGGCATTTGGTTTTTTCCCATGAGTCTTGAAACGATACCAGTGAGTGCGCTGGCCCCGACGAACAAGTAGATTAAGGATGGCGTGCGCCTTGCTCGCGAGTGAATGCGGGATCGCGTGAGTAGCAATGCGACATTCGTAGCAAGAAAAGCAAGTAGAGTGCCTCCCGATACCACGTCTGCTAGAGCATGAGTCTCAACTAAAACTGCGAGCATTGCAACAACAACTCCGCAACCCACGGTGGTGGCGCTAGAGCTCAATGCAAAAGCGCGAGGGAGCAATCCGTCACGGCCCATGGACATAAAAATACGGGGTTGTGCGGCCAGCGACACAGTGGTGGTGTTCATCATGCCAAGAGCCGTTCCAAACCCAACCAGCTTTGCCACAATAGGCAGTCCTACGGAACGGAACGCCGCGGAAAATGGGGCATAAGTATCTATGACTTCATAGTCCATAAGCCCCGTCAGAACAAGAGACGCCGCGATATACATGGATGTCACAATGACGAGGGAAAGAAGTATTGCTAAGGGAACAGTCCTTGCCGCATCTTGTGCCTCTTCTGCTACTGTCGCAACCTCATCGAAGCCGACGTAGGCAAAAAAGACAGCGCTTGAACCGGCAATAACACCTTGCAAGCCAAATGGAAAGAACGGGTCCCAATTACCTGTGTCCACTTTTTGCACGCCAAAAACTAAAATAACGGCAACGACACCTGCGTAAGCGAGGGTGGCGGCGTTAATGACCCATTTTGCCTCCTTCATACCCAGGGACAGCATAAGCGAGACGGCCAGAACCAAAACGAGGGCAAGCACAGAAAAGACCGAATCTTTGCCGGTTAACCAGCCCGGTAGGAAGCCAACAGCATCGCCAAGGTAAGATGCCCAACTGCGCGCAATAGCTGCTGAGCTGACACCATATTCCAGCGTGAGACACATACCGACGAGAAAAGCAGGGAGTTCGCCGAGGGCAGAATATGCAAAAGCATAGGCACCACCTGAGTTGGGGTTCCTGCTCGCCATCTCGGCGTAAGCAAGTGCAGAAAAAAGACATGCGATCGCGGCGACGGTAAAGGACAGAGTAACGGCAGGTCCCGCAATAACACGAGCTGCCCGCCCTGTAAGAAGGAACAGGCCGCTGCCGAGAGTTCCCCCGACCCCGAGTAAGGTGAGGTCAGTGAGATTAAGAGGACGCTCGGTATCGGCCTCTGTGACAAGAGCGTTGCTTGGGGGGGCGGAGGATTTGCGTCGCATAGCCGCTTGCAGGAGAGAAGATGCTGTCATGACGAAGGACGGCTCACAGCGTCTTTACCCCGTGCCCACGAGAGGAGACGAGCTGTAGAGAGTACTGTAGCTATTTCCGGCCTGTGCTGAGCGACGTTAAACCCGCCTCCCTCAGCACACTTCGCCTTCGACTTCAAAAGCCGCAAATAAATGTGGAGAATATCTCTCCTGCGGCATCCAGCAATGAACATACCGCACTGTGCAAAGTTTGACCGTTTTTGGATGGCAGGAAGTACATTTTTCTTTAATTTTATGAAAGTAGTTACCAAATCAACCTTTCCGGGAGTGGTATTTGCATGAAAGGCCTAGTGTCTAGACGACAAGCAATTTGACCTCATATGAGGTCAGTCATGGCCTCATATGAGGCCAGCTTTTTTTTGCAAAAATATATAAATTAAATCGAAACTTTAAAACATTCAGTTTGGACACCATTTCTTTAACGTATACGCGCTCGGCAATAACATCTTGCAAAACATTGGGATGGCGGTTGTCAATGCACAGAGAGACTAAGAATCTAATGAACTATCAATGATGAGTTGACTTTTTAAACAGGCGTTTTGGTTTCGAAGATATCAACATAAAACGTTTTGAGATTGGTCAAAAAAGGCTCCTTTTTGGGCATTTTAAAAATGGCTGGAGAAGACGTGCAGATCTCACCAAACTCCACCCTTCCACAACGCAGAAGTCAACTGCCGTGTCGAGAGTCTCTTTTTTCCATCTTGTTGAGCTAGCACAAGTCGAGAAAAATAAGTTGAAAAGTGACCTCATATGAGGTCAAATGGCCTCATATGAGGTCATTTGTCACCTAGACACTAGTGCTGGGCGATTATCTATGACTAAAGCGTATCTAGATAGGCTAATGCCTAATTAGAGGAGTGCTCATTACCTCCGTTTCACTCTCCGCTAGTAGTGCCACTTCTGAATAGTGCCGCCTTCTGGCATGTGGCAAGGGGTGGCACTACTGCGTGTATCCCACTGTACGCAAAAGTGGTCAACTCCGCAACGGAAGACTGACACGACCCTGATCGCTATGGTGTTGGCAATGGCAATGAAAGGCTGGGGTGCAAGTCTGGGACTCGCAACGGAGAGCCCCTTGCCATGGAATCGGTTCACGGTCCCTCTTTCGTCTCCTCGTCCTCATACTTGCTCTCCTTGTACATCTTGAACTCTGGATTAAACTTGTGTTGGCAGTACCCAAGTTTTGTCAGCTTGCGGTTTTCTGGGACAAAGTAAAGACTGTAGTGTAGTTTGTGATTACCCGTGACGTGGTCTTCGAATGCACCCTCAGCGTGAAGCATGTCCCCCCTCCCGACGAAGATCGAAAACGGAGGGATTATCACCTTTACCGCTTTCAGGCTCGTCGAAAGAGCTTGGAGGGACTTTTCTTCTGCGGTAGGCACCAAATAGTGGGAAAACGGGCACACCCATAGCACCCCAGCATCAGCCGCTGTCGTGAGAGTGAAAAAGCCCGGGTTTTCTTTTTCCTCGTCAAGCAGTAGTGCTTCTTCGTCATCTAGTCTGCACTGCACTTCGAAATCTGTGTGCAGCTGCTGGCGAAGACATCCTCTAGACGTCACAAACCAACGACCACCGGTTTTCGGCGTGTACATACGCGGTCGGAAGTCGATGTCTTCATATCCAATTCTCTTGGTGTTGGTCCAGAGACATAGGGCGGCCATACACTGAGAAATCCGAGCATCCAGGAGTGACCTGGAAGCACACATCCAAACTACGCTGGCGTCCTCTTCAATCGCGGTGGTGACGTTGTGTAGAGTACTTTGATATTGAACGATTCCATGCTGCCCACCAGAGCTATCGATCTTAGACGCTCCATGGACAGTGGAGGTCCAATCTTGCTTGTTGCCAACGTTATTGCTGAACTTTTGGAAAGAGTTATGTACTGCCTTGTGGAGAGGCAAAAAGAAGTTGCAGACTTCGATCGGAAATTTCTTTAGTAGATCAGCAGGAACACTTTCATCTGCAAGAAACCCCTCCAAGATTGCGTAGCCTCTCTGCAATACTTGCTCTCGCCTTCTTCCAAAATAAGTGAGAGACGCTTCATCCTCCATGAATGCCTGTTTCCACGTGTGACGGGTGTCTGATGCCTGCGACGCGTTCGTGGCATGGTGGTTGTATGCTGCACGCCAGAAAACCATGTGATGGTTTGCGCGCAGAATAGCAGGATCACAGAGAACGACGTTCGCCCGATGCTCATGGGGAATAAAAATTGCATCCAAGAAGGGGGTGGCATGCGCAATGGGGTTTTTCCTGCTCCACCTACTCGGTGGACATACTGCGTGACGCACCCAGGGCTCATATTTTCCACGGTCTACGTACGGCTTTGGGTCATTCACACCGAAAGGGAGAATGTCTGGAAGAACATCCTTGAACTCGGTGTCATCTGCAAATTCAACTTCGGCCTTATGCTTTTTGCGTTTCTCCTTCTCAACGCCTTTTGACACTTGCCTCTGGGGCGCACTGAGACGGTCCCATACTTGGGCCTCGCTGACGGTGGGTGGTTTTGTGGAAAGCCGTTCCTTAACCGGTGCAGCGTCAGTGGGAAGATGTACAGAAAGAGTCTGAAGGAGGTGGGATTTGTTTTTCCCGGCCCCGTGGAGACGAAAGGCAGTAGAACGTTGCGGAAGAGGTGCCACGAGGGGATTTTCGAGTGCATCGCTGTGGCCCTCGTCCTCGGTCCCTTTTGTACGTCTGACTAGATCTCCAGAAATGACCTTGTGCTTTTTGGGTGGCGACACAGTCGAATGGGGCAAAGCTTCAGAGGTATTCTCCTCCTGTCCGGGCGGAGGGGCTGTCACGGGGTGATTTCCGAGTGCGTTGCTGTACTCCTCGTCCCCGGTTCCTATTGCACGTCTGTCCAGATCTCCAGAACAGACCTTGCGCTTTTTCTCGTGCGGGTGAAGAGCAGAAATGTGAAATGTGTCCGAGGGATCGTTCTCTCCTCCTTGATGACTACTACTGCGCTCGCTGTCGGAGTCGAAGTGTTCGAATTCCGAGGCTGAGCCGTCGGAGTTGCCCAGATCAGCCCGGCGGGAGCTCGCATATACTGTGTGAGATCGGTGGCGGGCAAGGCGAGTGAGGGTGGTCGAAATGCGTCGACGTGGAATTTTGAGTTGCGGCTTCCGTGTAGAGGACTTTCTTGCTGTGCACTCCTGGGAGGGACTTTCTTCACATACCCTGTAATCGACTCCCAGGGCGTCGATCAGCTTCGTTTGAAACTTTCGAATACGAATTAAATGGCTAGCTTCAGGTCGGTAGCAATGAGATTTGTACGCTGTCATTGTTCGGACGATGAGATTCGCAATCTTGACTCGATAACGCTGCCCCACCGGGGCTTCCATTTTCAGAACATCACGGAAAGATAACCCCATTCGTTCCGCAGCGAACGAAACTTCTTTCAGAAGCTGGCGTAACATTGCGTAGAACTGGGTGCTAAACGATTGAAAGGACTGCTCTAGTCCAGCGTCCACTTTTCCAGCTACAGCCTGAAGGGATAGAGAAAATTGTTCCTCAGTCGTCTCGTTAAGCAAATAATTGTTGCAAAGGTGGACGAGAGCAAGTTTTTTGCAACTTGTGGAGACTGCAACAAAACTATCGAAGTTTCGCTTGCTTCCAGATAATTTAAAAGCTACTTGGGCATACCTAAGGGTTTGCCGTGGACCCATGCGCCCAAGTGCCTTGCATTTGGACAAAGCACAGGCAAGCAAATTTGTAGAAAGTCGCTCGCCAATGTCTGCTCGGGCCCTTAGTAGGTGTGCAAGAGACACGGCCGCATGCACATGGTCCTGAAATGTTGGGGCTTCAACTGTGGCACTTGCTCGATTGAGTGCCCCACTGAGGCCCAACAGCTCCGCTCGAGATGTACCGATGCTATTGTTCGTTGTCCAAAGTTTAACGGACACGCGCGTGAATTTCTTCTTCCAAACCTTTGAGGTTTTCATGAGGGAATTCATCGCTGCTAGGCGATGGCGTCCGTCTATGAGACACACTGTCACACACTCGGGAAGCTCCCGACCTCTACCCTCTTCCAACACTCTGCGCAGTTCGTTCCACTTCCCAGGATTCGCATCCCCTTTGCCCTCTGCAATTGCTACAGACAACATACCAACGCTCTCCAAATACCCCTTCTCCTTGAACTCGGCCACCAAAGTGTCAACGTGCTCGGTTCGAAGTCTTCTAAACGTGTGCTCCGGTTCCAGAATATTCACCAGCTGAACTATCACTGTGATCTGGCGGTAGTTTTGAAGAGACACATCAAGAAAATTCAACGTGTGCCCCTCGTGATCCTTGATCCTAGTAAACTCGTTGTTATCAAGGACGAAGCGGCGATCTTGTTCATCGTCCACGAGATCCTCTCCAGGCCGTGAGTCTGTACCTTCCATTACGGGATGATGGGGATAGCACGAGAGAAGAAGTGGAGATGGTGAAGAGGACGTAGGGGTATCAGCACAGTGGTGGGGGATAAGATTGCAGTGGCCAGAGAGTAGCTGAGGTATGTGCGCAAGAATGATTGCAGCAAGAAGGGAATATGTCTGGTAAAAGTGCTTTGGGAGGGCTATGTCTGCATAAAGGAGTAGTTCAAACCAGTCTTCAAGCCAAATCCACCGTCGTAGGGATTCACGCGTACAAATATTTACAAATTTGAACACGAAAGACAAATGTATTTGTACGCATCGCAATAGTTGGCTCTGGGACGGATTTTGCGTTACGGAGAATAGTAATAACCATTATATGCCCGACACTTACCATCCTAGGAGCCCGGGATGATTTTGTGTCTGTCTGCCTACGACTTGAATTGGATTCCTACTCACTGGTTCTTATCTGCGTGATTGAACCCCCTTGAATTGTGTTCGCCAATGCTGCACATTGCGAAAGAACCGAGAAAATGAAGAAGCAAAAGAAGAAAACGACGCCCGGTACTGGAAGGACGATGAAGAGTGTGACGAGTCGGACAAAGTCACACTGGAAAGGCCTCAAGAAAAGAACTGCCTCTTCTTTCTTTGGAATAGCTGTGTCAAAACACGATAGCAACTCATTGCCTCGCACGTGGATTATCTTGAGTCAAGCAACTTGATCAACGTCGTGCAGGAGTTGTTCACTCTGTACTGAGTGAAAGAGCGAGATTCGGAGAGGTGAGATGTTCATAACTCACATGGAGAAGCACCACGGCACCTCAATTACAGTATATCCATAAAAAGTCGCGTAGCCTATTCAGCGCTTTTGGAATTCGCTCATACTGAGACTGTGATACACTTCACGTTA